CCTCTCTCTGGGCCTTATCGTGCCCTCTCTGTTTAGTGCATACAATGACCATTATCCATCCTCTTCTGGAGCTGCTCTGACAATTAAACAAGAGGGCAGGAGTAAATGCAGGTGGATGTTCCTAGCATAAAACAGGCTGGGTCAAGATAGGTGCCGGGTGACCAGTTGACAGATGAATAAAATAATGAATGAATATGAGAACTGTCACCAAGGTCAGATAGGATGTGAACCAGGGCAAATAGATTTGGTGCCAGTACCCTCCTGATGCCTAGCTCTGGACAACACTGTTCAGAACCAGACCCTGGGAGCCCCAGCCTGTCACATGCCAGCTGCTTCCTCCTGAACAATGGCCTGCAATGGGAGAATGTGGGGGAGAAGGGTGGAGCAGAGACCAAGGGACTTGAGGAAGGCGGTGGGGATACAGAAAGGAAATTTGAGAGTCTGGGGACACAGGGGCAGGAATGGAAATGGGGAGGGAGGGCAAAGAAAGAGGGTAGTGCTAGGGGAAGAGGCCAGGACAGGGTGGGAGCGAGGCCTAGAAGAGTGTGGACACAGTAGAGTAGCCTGCAGGAACCCAGCAGGCTCTGGGTAAGTGTCTGTTTATGACTGAAGGAAAAATGGATCAAGAGGTCAGAATGGGAGAATCCTGCAGATGGAGGGGAGCCTCATGCATCCTCTGCCCTGGCTTTCCCGCCCCCTCTGGATGCCCGTCCTCACCAGGAACACGCCGTGGGCGTACAGGTGGATCCCCAGCTGGATGCCATTGACAATCTTCTCCCGGGCCCACTTAGGGATCCCAAAATTGGCAATTAGAGCCATTACTGGAACCGCAAAGAACCTGAAAGGGAGGCACTGGGTTCGTAAAGACACTGCCCCTGCCCTCCACCCCATCCCATGGCCCCACCTCCCCTGCCTTGCACACACACAGGGCCCAGGCAGGTCCCAAACTAGAGGGAAGCCAGTGTGACCCTCAGAAGCTTGAGGTTGAAAGGGGACAGGCATCCCACTGGTCTGGAATATTCTGGGGGAGCGAGGGCTGGGTTCCATCCCACCCCAGATCCTGTCATCTGAAAGGAAATCAATAGATGTTTGATGAATGAATTAACAAATGTAATGCTTAAGGACTTATTGCATGCCGGGCCTGTTTCTAAGCACTGAACACATATAAACTCATCTAACTCTCATAGTGACCCTATGAGGCAGGTACAATTTCCACCCCCATTAACAGGTGAGGAAACTGAGGCAGAGAGAAGTTAATGGACTTGTCTGAGGTCACACAGTTTATAAGTTTTAGAGCTGGGGTCTGAACCCCGGCAGTTTGGCTCAGAATTGACTACCTTACTGCTATTATAATAATAATTACAACATTTTTTAAAAAATGTGTTCTCTACTTTTTTTTTTTTTGAGACAGAGTCTTGGTCTGTCACCCTGGGTAGAGTGCAGTGGCATCATCATAGCTCCAACATCAAACCTCCAACTCCTGGGCTCAAGCGATCCTCCTGCCTCAGCCTCCCGAGTAGCTGGGACTACAGGTGCATGCCACCACACCCAGCAAATTTTTCTATTTTTAGTAGTGATGGGGTCCCGCTCTTGCTCAGGCTGGTCTCGAACCCTTGAGCTCAAGCAATCCTCCTGCTTCAGCCTCCTAGAGTGCTAGGATTACAGGCGTGAGTCACTCGCCCAGCAATTACAACATTTACTACATGCCAGACACTAAGCCCTTGTATATTACCCTATGCATGCGCTAGGTATGCATACTCTCCTTTGTGGGAGATACTCCTGACACAAACCTTGTTTTATGGGTAAGCAACTTGATATACTCCCGGTGAAAGTGTTTTTTACTTTCACATTTTTTTTTACTTTGGGAAAGTAAAGTCACAAAGTGAGTAAGTAGCAGGTTCTGGGTGACAGGTGCCTGAGTTGAATGCCCATCTTCCTCACTGAGGAAGGTGTTGGGGGGCAGCCACTTCTGGGGAAACCCGGGAGGCAGGGACAGGTTGGGGGCCCACGACATCTCACCAGAGGGTGTAGGCAGCAAAGAAGGGCACATAAAAGGGCTGCTTCTCAGGGAAGTGGCGCAGCGAGACGAGCACGGCGTAGCAAAACCACACGTAGGCCGCCACCTGCAGCCCGATGAGCCCATAGCCGGCTGGTGACTCGTATGTGTACAGTACCTGGCCTGGGTCAAAGAACTGGACCCGCGGGAGAGGGTTCATCATAGCCTGGCTTCCTGCCCTCCGTCAGGGTCCCCAGACCCCACCCCTGGGCACCCAGGGAACAGAAGTACTCAGATCAGAAGCAGCAGGAGAGCCAGAGATGGAGACAGAGCACACAAAGGTAGAGAAAGAGGGCGAAGAGATAGGAAGAGAGTACATCACTACCTGTGCCCAACATGGGGCTAAACACCTCCCATGTGTGACCTTATTATTGCCCCATTTCACAGAAGAGGAAACTGAGACTACAAGGGAAGCCCTTTGGCCAAAGCCAATCAAGTGATAAAGCGTTGGAGGAGCCCCCTGGGGTAGGTAAGATCCTCCGAATTTCCCAGAGAGGAAACAGGCCCAGAGAGCAGGGTCATCACCCAGCTAGGAAGTGGGAGAGCCGCGTGGAATCCAGGTCTGCATGACTGCCGAACTCTCAGCCACGACATTGAGCATGAAGGTGACAGACAGCGAGAGACGGAGGGAGGAGGAAGAAAGCCAATCGGAGATGGTGAAGAGGGGAGGAATCAGTTAGACAGATGGGAAGGCAGAGTTTGCAGAGTGGGAGAGTTAGCCAGCAGGAGTTAGGTGGGGAAGGGCTAGCAGACAGGTCGAGGAGGAGGCAGCCGCCCAAAGCTCTGAGGGGAGGGGAGGGCGCGAGGGGGCGGGGCCTGGGCAGGGCCCGGGACTCACTTCGGCCTCGTAAATGAGCAGCACCACGTGGGTAAGCGTGTACAGGGTCATGTAGACAGACAGCTTCACAGAGCCCGAGTGGCTGATGCGGCCCCTGGCGGCAGGCCATAAGGGGAGACAGCAGGGGTGGGGGACGTCAGGGAGAAGGGCGAGGCCACGCCCCACGCCCCCCACCCCCGCTCCCCAGCCCAGCCACCCCAGGAGCGCTCCCTGCCCGGGCACCGTGTCACCGTGAATCCCTTCCCCAGAAGGATGAGCATCAGCAGGAAGATGAGGAAGCTGGAGGAGAAGAGCAGCTTGGCTGGGAGAAGGGAGGAGAGGGAGGCTCAGAGTCGGCTCAGAGAGGACCCCTTCCCGCCGAACCTGCGCTGAGGGCTTCCCCTTCTGGGCCCCACTTCATTCTCACCTAAGATCTTCACACTCTCGTTGCCAATGCCATCGGTGGCATACTGGCCCCAATAGATGCAGAAAAACAGGAGGCTCAGGACTGGGGGGAGGATGGGCAGAGAGAGAAGAAGATAGAAACCAGCTTTGGGGCATCACTGTCCTCTAGCACTATGATCCGGATGGTCTGAACCCCGCCGCCCCCATCAGGACTCTACACCATCTACTCCCACTGACCTGCTAGGAGACTCTGGTCCCCAGCCCCTCCTCCCTCAGACCCAGGGGTCCAGGCTCCCAGCCCCTCCTCCCTCAGACCCAGGGGTCCAGCCCCAGCCCCTCCTCCCTCAGACCCAGGGGTCCAGCCCCAGCCCCTCCTCCCCCAGGACCCAGGGGTCCAGGCCCCCAAGCATTTCTCTCTTGGGCCCCAAGTCCCTCCTCCCACAGAATGCAAAAGTTGAGACACTAAACCTCACCCTCCACTCCTGCTGCGGCCATGAACATTTTGTAAGTTGTGTGGAGCAACTGACGACCTTTCAGCAAATCTAGGAAGCAGGGTGGGGAAAGGCTGTTCACAGACACAAAGGGACAGCAGCTCATCTCCCCCAACCCTGCGCCCCTGCTCCCCCCATAGCTCCTCCCCAACGATCCAGGTGCTGGACTCACATCCAAAGTAACAGGAGAGGAAGAAGATGAGGATGAAGATGAGGAGGAAGGTCACATCTGTCTCCAGGATCCCTGTGGATTTGGTAGGAGGAGGAAGGGTCACTCAGGTGGGTGTCCCCTCAGTAGGCACCCAGCTCTGGTATCCCACAGAGATCCAGGCTTCTGGGCCCTCACGTGCTCACCAAACTCATCGGCTGAGAAGTGTCGTGTCCAAAAGGACTTGCCGTTGGTGAGGACCATCTCGTACTCCAGCTGCAGTCCATCTCCCTGTGGGGGGTGTGGAGGCCTAAGCGGGGCCTGGGCAGGTGGGGGGCTGGCAGGCAGGCTAAGAGGAGAAGGCCCGGCTGGCTTACCCCGCACTTGCTGAGGGCAATGTACCACCACCTTTCCCGCACTGAGCGGAAGCTGCGGCCACTGGAGCAGCTCAGGTAGTGGGTTCCCTCCTCTGACACCACCTGGGGACAAGCAAGAAGGCTGCAGTCTGTCCTCCGTGCCCCCAAGCCCTCAACCTTCCGCACCTGCCCACACCCAGGCTGGGCCCGAACCTGGCAGCCTGACCAGGCGTACTGGGTGGTGAGGTTGATGACCTGGTTGTTCTCCGGCCTGATCACCGACTCCTTGGCCAGGCAGTCCTGGGGAAGGCAGGGACAAGGTCACTACTTCTTGGCCAGCCCCAACCTTCTCCCCCCTCCCCCCACACCCTCTT